GGGACATGCTCTCATTCACTGTTTATTTTTGTTTTGTATTTTCATTTTGAACATATACATACTTGTCTGACCTAGTCCTGTGGACCAAGAATCAGATCCCTGAACTTGCGAAACTTCTCACCTTGCATTGTCACAAGATGAAGCTTCTGACCAAGAACTAGAAGGTAAAGAGGTTGTGGTATGTGTCAGTCCAAAGTACCCGGAAGTAACAACCAATTGTGCTGAGTCTTTCAATAACAGGCAAATGTTTGTTCAACACAAAGGCCAAAAGTTCTGGATTCAGAATGACGCATTGCACTCATGTTGATACGAAGGTGCTGATTTGCATGATTGTGCCTACATCTGTGCTCGCATAGCTGCATTTTGTCCTAGAAGAAGTACGGGCAAGCTGACTAATTGAAAAGAAGGTATTTGGCAGCCATTGAAGGTCAAAGATGTGTACACTGCGACATTCACAACTGTCAACTTGTGTTGAATCATCATAAAAAAAAAGCTCAGAAAACACATACAAATGCGTCTGCAGGGAAGGGTGGCAGCACAATTGGGTTAGGGTTAGGGTTAGGGCAAAGGCAGCATTATTTTGGGAAGTACGTGGTCTGTCCTACGTACATGTAGTTTTGTAGTCTGAAAGGATCTGGTAGTCACAAGTTTTCCTTGTCTATATTTCGTCCAGTAATTGATCTGTTTTGGCTGACTAGCAGCGCATTTTAACGGTTTATCAGACCCAAGAAGCTCTTTGTTGTGAGCTAAAGCTTGAGAAGGCTTTTTGAAATAATTTCTGGTCTCCAAAGTTTGTGGTTGACCGGCAAAGGTTGGATCGTCCATTGTCAAAGGATCCGTGGTTTTCACGTCGCTACATTTCAGTCTCAAGCGTTGACTGAAGACGGCCACTTGTTACCGTTTAAACCGTTTGGTTGCAAGTAATTTGCCACAGGGGTAGACGTACCCAGGATATCTCGCTCGATACTCCGTATATAATTATTTGTAGTGCGATTCTTTTAATTAAGATCTCACACTGACGTAGTTGTGCAAAATTGCATTATACGACTCCAATCAGAAACTGAAAACAACTGGCAAAACGAAAATATTGAAATTTGTGCCGTGTTATTTCTACAACAACACAAAAGACATTGAACGATGGCCGCTGCGAGAATCGCATGGAGAAACTACATTCGAGATGTTCTCGATTTCTCTCAGGATGAGGCACAAGAGATTGTTATTGAACAGGGTTTCAGTTCCCCTGCTTTCTTTGCCCGGTCGATGCGCGAAAATATTGATTCCTTTTGTGAAGCAGATCAATCGCACTGTGATTGATCCAGGGAATGATCCTGACACTACGTTTTCAATCAACCAAGCCCAGAAAATCATGCTCTACGACCTTTGCGACTATTGCCAATTTATTTATATGGTGGATCGCCAACATGATCCAGCTTTTGGAACGCAAGCGAATTTGGCAAAAATCAATCGCTATTATTCCCACTTGAAGAACAAGTCAAACGAATTTGAAGATATTTCAGAGGTTATGCCTCCCAAATTTGATAATAAAAATACGGTCAAACTGATGGAGAGCTTGGAACAGTGGTTGAAGCGCAATCGCGGAAAAGGTGGCACTTTGTTAACATATGTGATCCATGAGCATCAAAATCCGGACGACAATCCAACAGCTGATCCTGGTTTCCTTATGCCATCTGTGGAAGATGAGGCAATTCGTCGGAGCTTGCATCGAGAGGACCAGTTTGTCGCTAATAACAAAGCTGTGTGGAATATGTTATATTCGGTATGCCATGGAACCGATGCTTGGCCTGTTATAAAGGGATACAAGACTACAGAAAATGGAAGACAAGCGTATCTTGATCTGGTTGCCCACTATCAGGGTGAGGGCCAACTCAATAAGAGGCGGGACTCTGCCTACCGCATCTTGAATACGACCCACTACAATGGAAAGAACAATTTTAGTTTTGAAAAATTTGCGGCACGGGTTCTTGGTGCCTTTGAAGATTTAAAAAATTGTGGCGATGGCATGTCGGAACATGCCAAGGTAAGCATGATCAAAGAAGGCCCACAGGGCGCAGGCTTGGACGCCTGTAAGACACTTGGCCGAGGAAGTCAAGCATGTATGCAAAACCTGCGCACGGCTATCAACACTTTGCAGACTGAAGATACGGCCCAGCAAACTCATCGCTTAACTGCGACTAGCGGTACAAGAGCCTTAGCTGCGGTCAATGGCGGGGGGCGAAACTCCAATCGCGGACGTGACCGTGGTCGTGATTGTGATAATGGCGGTCATGATCGTGGTGGCCATAATCGTAATCGTAATCAACATGGACGTGGTGGGGGTCGCGGACGAGGTGGTAGTCGCGACCACGATGGTACTGTATGGTCCAATGATGGCACAACCATCCTCAACAACGGTGGATACTCCCAAGACACTTGGAGCTGTTTCTCTGATCGTGATCGCCGTGTTGTCCTCCAAGCCCGTGAACGTGCTAACAGTTGTCTTATGAGTGAACGTGACATTGCGGAATTGAACACTTTGCGTGAACAAAATTGTGACCACCAACAAAATGAAGAACCTGCACCTACACCAGCTCCAGCACCCTCTTCTGGCAACGTTGGTAGTGGAGTTTGACATGGCCGTCGCTGACATGAGGCCGACTATCAGATTCGTGTTACTTGTTCCCTTTCCTCTCATGTTCATGTTTTAATGTCCCTTTGCCACTCCTTGCCCCAGTGTGAGCTTGACTCACACGCAGATACTTGTGCTTTTGGCGAAAATTGTTTGGTTCTTGCAACCTATCCCCATACCTTGAAAGTAAAAGGCTTTGATCCTTCGCTCGGCAGTGTGCCTAACGTTAAAGTTGCGAAAGTTGCAGTTGCTTATGATTGCCCTCTGTCCCTTGAAACGTATATCTTGATCTTTGATCAAGCATTGTACATCCCAACCATGAAAAGTAATCTCCTTTGTGTTGATCAACTTCAAGATTTTGGTATAATTATGAATGATGTGCCCCTCCAACGTCTGAAACGCGAAGATCGCAATCAATATTCGCATTCCATTATTGATGAAAACTCGGGATTACATATCCCGATGGACTTCCTGAACCCTATCAGCTTCTTTGCTTGTCGCAGACCTGCGCTGTCTGAACTTGATGAATATGTCTCGGTGGAAATGACCACTTCCGTCCCTTGGGAACCTTATGACCCGGAATCCTCTCGCATCGAACAAAATCTACGACGTGAATATCAAGGAGACATTGCCACTCAACAAATCTATTCTGTTGACCGCTCTGATCCCAACTACCGCTCTATTTGCCCACTCGCTCTTCCCATCGCTTTAGGGGACAGAGTTGAGGCGACCATCAATGGTGTTAAAACCGATGGCAAGAGCTATTTGGTCAAACCTGAACAACTTGCGCAAAGATGGCGAATCAGCCTTGAATGTGCCTGTCGCACTCTCAAGAAAACAACCCAGCGTGCTTTGCGGGACTGGACTAAAGTCAAAGGCTCAAGACGATTTCGCCCCACTCAATTCCAACTTGAATATCCTAGGTTGCGTGCTGATATTTGGGCCAATATCAAACAAGGCCCCTGTGTTTCTGCTGAAGGAAATAAGTATGTTGCTGTCTATGCTGCTGCCTGTCAATGGGCCCGTGGCTACGCTTTGAAGAAAGAATCTGAAGTGAGCAACTTGCTCAAGGAAGTATTTCGTGATATTGGCTCTCCAAGAGTTCTCCGACCTGATGATGCTCAATCGTTGACTGCTGGAGAATTTCAAATAAGGCCCAGGTTCCAATACATCCTAGCGAGCCTTACAATCCTGATCAGAACCTTGCTGAAGATTGTATTTGTGAAGCAACAAAAATGTATGTTTGTTTTATGACAAGAAGAGGGATCCCAAAAGCGTTTTGGGATCGAGTCTTTATCTATTGTTTGGAATTAAGAAGTCACATGGTTCTTGGTCACTCTCGACACGGTGATGACTGTGGTGCCGGTTGGATCTCCGGTAATACGAAAGATATCTCACATCTGGCTGATTTTGGTATCTATGATTGGTGTTGGGCTTTGTCCCCGACACACTCCAGTCAAGAGAATAAGCAATTGTGTCGTTGGCTTGGACCCAGTTTTAACATTGGCGGATCTCTGTGTTTTG